CATCATGTAAATAGCTACTGAGGCACACCCATGGAACACAGCCTGAATATTTGCAGATATATTGAGCAGGGCAAGCCATGCAATTTACATCCACCCTGTTTTTCATTTTAGCTTCTGGGTTTTTTATTTTTAAATCTTCTGTCCCCAAGATGAAGAGCTCAACTTCCCAAATGGTTTTCTGGTCTGAATTCATGCCAGCTTCTTCCAACATACTGTATGTATCTGAGGCCATCAGCCCTACACCATTTGGAAATTATCTTGGAGAGTGATGCATGAAGGAGAAAAGGGTAAAGAAATAAATCTACCCTGAATTTTCCAGAATGAAATTCTCTGAATTTTGGCTGCTTTTTTCTGATGTACCCAAGAACTCTCTAAAACAGGGTCCCAAATCAGCACCAGGGAGCATTCTGTTTCCAGTTTAGCAAGCAATCATAACAAGAAGAAATAGTCATGATGATCAATGATCATGCACTGCTACATCCCAGCTAATTAGTTCTGCCACTAAGTAGAATGGATTATCTCTATGGCCCACAGTGCTGTACTAAGGTGAACACACTATCCCAGACCAGAAGTCATGTAGACTACTTTCCATTCCTGATGCCTGTGGAACATCTGGGATTGCATTGCATTCCCCGGAAGTTGGTCTCCTTAGATAAAGAAATACAGCAATGCTAAGAAACATAATCAATCTTCCTCACAGTTGGCACAAATTAATATCTACCAGTAAAGTCTATGCTTTTTTCAGCCCTCTCTTCCCAATCTGAATCGATGTCTGGATGCCTGTTGGCAACTCAGGAGCACAGGCGGAGAAGAGAGACTCCTAAGAGGAAAAAAGGGTATCACTACTTAGGAGAAATTTTGAAGAAGCAAAGGGTTCTGCTTTAGATGGCCTACACTGGAGCTCCCAACAAGCATCTACCAAGACTAGCAGAAGTATGCAATCACTGCAGCCACTCTCATTTTAAAAATAGGCATGCAGTCTGTTTCTAGGGTAGGTCCCCAATAGGCTACAGACCTGTAGTCGCCTCAAACAACAACTTATCATCAAGATATAGATAACTTTGCCCTGCATTATAGAACTCCATGAGCAATGCCCTTTCCACCCTGTCTTCCATCTATTTTTTTTTATTCACAACTTATTTCTGTAACATCTGAAAACCTTATTTCTGCTCTTCCCTGAGTTAAGGCCCATGACCCTATGTGTTAGTAGCTGATATTGACAAAACAGCTGCATCTGTTTTCCTACAGCACATTGAGAAAAGACAGGGCTAGAGATAATTAAATAAAACAGAGGAACTAGATTATTTATTTTAAAGTAAAATGCATCTTCTAGGAAGAAAGTCCTTTATTTGGGCAAATCTGTAAGCTGTTTATCAGCTTAAACTCATTATCTGCCCATATGGTCTTAGCACTGTGGTTTTAAAAAAATGGGCATGCACTAGCTGATGAAATGTCATCTGCCCCTGTGCCAGAAACTAGTATTTTTGCAGTGACGTCAAATTAGGATCCTTGCCACAAGTGAAGGGCTTCCATAAGGAAAGTCATAATATTTTAATTATGCAGGAATCCTACAGAAGGCAATGAGGAGCAGAAAACAGGGGAAAGGAAAGAAAATTCATTCATAAAAAAGTCATTGCACTTACTCTTCCTCCCATCCATCTCTCTCTCTTTCTCCCTCTCTCTCTCATTCTGTGTTTATGAAGATATTTCAAATGAGCAAGAGAAGGAAAGAAAACACCCAATAAATTCACATCACAGTATGTGCATTCTGCTTCAAATGCCTGAAGTACTCAAACAAGGGTATATTATCTTAAGATACAAAGGTGTTAGGATGAAAACTGCTAACTCTGACTGCAGCTTGCTGAGCCATATTTCTGATGGATATCCAAGACATCAGCCCATTCTGATGCATGAATGCAAGTTGGCAAGCCTGAATGATGGAACTAGGTTACAGAAATACAAATCAGGCACCATCATCTGTTAACGAGAACTAGTTCTGTAAAATAAAGCAATTTAAAGCCTTTCCCGTTCCTCTTTTGACATGCTGAGCTAACATTTATTGATCCTGCACAGTCACAATTAACCATGGTAGCTGGGCCAGTGGTTTAACACAGGACATTAAACCTAACTACCTGTCAACTTAGCTACTCCAAGAGAGAGAAACACACTGAAGTCACAGTAACAGATGTTACTCATGTTTTATGAACTGCAGTGTTATTCCTGCTTACAGATACTGTTTCTGCTCTTTAAAACCCATCTAAAGTTCTGTGTATACAATAATGATTTAAGTTAAACAACACACACAAACAAAGTGACAGTGGAGTTAAGGATAGATCAGCTTTTCCCTTCTCCCCCAACCCCACCCCCAAAAGTATAATGCACGTCAACTAGCCAAAAATGAGATCACCCTAGGATAGTCGTTAGACGCTGTCAACATAGAAAAAGATGCATGTTTAGATTACACTCCTTCCTGAACAAAAATCAGCCCCACCTTCACTCTCACTTTGGGAAATTAAGTTATGGAGAATCTGTTTTCACTTTTTTGGAGGGTGGGAAGAGAGGGGATGTGCTCTCCCGTTTTTGTTTTCCCCTTTCTCCATGTGGTGTATAAAGAGCTTTTCTGTAATTCACAAAGGATGCACTGAAGTCTGTGTCTTCTGAACTGAAGCCACTCCCAGTTTAATTCCAGGGTTTGTCTGGATTCTGGAATTAAACCTATAGCCATCCCAATAAAACTATAGCTATATCAGCAAAGCCCCCTAGTGGAACGGCACCTTACACCAACAAAACAAGTTCTTAGCCAGAGTACTAAACATCCTTCCTTAAAGATGTAAGCTATCCTGGCAAAAAGAGTTCTTTTGCCAGTATAAGTTCATCTATGGGGGAAGAGGATCGCCAGTACAGATCTGTTGGTTAAGTGGCCAATATAAACCCTCCAGATTTCAACCTGGCCCCCAAAATAAATATTTTATATGTTTGATACATATCTTTTTTGAGTAAGTGATAATAGGTGCTAATTCTCCGACATGTCAGTGCTCCTAGCAAATGATTTCTCAAGCTAGAAAATTCACTGGCTAAGGTTCCCTTTACAGAAAATGCAAAACACTGAATAGAAATGATAGTTCAACTTTACTTCTCCAAGAAATTTCAGTCTGCCAGAAAACATTCTTCCTTTCCTTTTCCCACCCTCTTCATTTCTATTAAAAATAAAAGCCTAGATTTTTATGGCAATTGTGCTGTGCAGTATTTCAGCTGCTCCAACAAAAACAGTACATTGGCTGCAATAAAAACAAAAATATCAGTTGCCTTCCAGGGACCATCAAACATTGGAATCATTTTATCAAGACTGCAAAAGTAATCCAGGGAAGCAGAAGACAGAGGACTATGCCTAAGCAGAATGTATCTTTCAAGCTTAAAGAATAAGAAACACTCCTACTTGCTCTTATGCCAGGTGGCTTTGTCTTGTTCTTTTTTGTGTGCTTTAAAGACAAATAAAGAAAAACAATCCCCGTTTTCTTATGAACGGTGCTTAAGGACCCCCTTACTGGCAAGGATTACCAGCTGCATTGGGAAATACATTGTTACAAAAGTGTAACTGTTCCATTCTCTCCACTGAACCTACTCAGGATTTATATGGACAAAGTCTGACCAGTCACCTTGTCATTCAGTCCATGTAGCACACCAGACTCCCACTCCCTCTCCTTGGGGGTCACTAGTAATCAAATCCTCACAAGTCCATTCACTGCAGTTCTTTGCAACTTTCAGCAACGCTCTAAGCACAGGTAACATAGAAAGGTGTTGGGAGCAGCACTGCAAAAGCCTGATTTTTACCAACTGCCAAAAAAAGAAAAGAGCAGCATTTAAAAACAAGGCCCATGCTTTCCGGAGCAGATGTCCATTTCTCCTGACAAGCGCACACTTTAAACCTGCAAGTAAACTTCCCACGCGGATAGCAAAACACCCGCATCTGTCCTAGCTGTAAAAACAAACCTTTGTGGTAGCCTGTGACTTGACCCAGCCACTGTTTCTGCTATTCAATCTGTGCTGAGAAGTGGGGGGGAGAGCGCCTCTGGGGTTCTCTGGGCAGCAAAGGCCGACTGAAAGAGTTTCTGCTGGGGCTGGGCTGAAGTCAGACACCTGAGCTGCGCTGACACTGCCCTCAACCAAACCTCGGGGCCTTCCTGTGCTCAGCCTGGGCCAGGCGGTCCCAGGATGTCTTAGAAGCCCGGACAAGGGCTCACCTCCTCCAGCGCGCCTCAACCCGTGGGTCGCAAGACCATATGAAAGGGTCGTGAACAAACTTGAAAAATGGAAAGGAGAAAAAATGTGGCTTTTCCCTTCCC